ACCGGGGCCCGCCTCCAGCCCCTGCTGCTTATAATGCTTATTATTCTTATTACTAGTATCTTGGGGTGTCGGTGGTACTCCTCGCATAGAGAACCGGGGCAGGACCAGTGGGTGAATCTGTACGCTCAGTTCTCAGCCTCCCAGGGCGGCCGACACCCTGGCAGGAGGAAGTCGAGGGGTGATGCCAGGCTGTAGGCATGGGGTCCCAGACACTCGATTCCCTCCCCCCCGCCCCCCTCACTCTAGGCTGCTCAGGGCTTTGTTCCAGGAAGCACAGGGGAGAGCACAGGGCCCTGACCAGGCAGCCCAAACATCAATCTCTTGTTTTTGTGCAAGTCCCAGGCTTGAACTCAGGACCTCACATGGTCATTTAGCTTGATTTTGGGTCAAGGCTAGCGCTCTACCACTTGAGCCACAGCGCCACTTCCGGCTTTTTTCTTATGTGGTGCTGAGGAATGGAACCCAGGGCCTCAGGCATGCAAGGCAAGCGCTCTACCACTGAGCCACCTTCCCAGCCCTGTCCTTGAACTTTTGAGATCTTCCTTCCTTAGCCTCCCTGGGTGCCGGAACTAGAGACATATGCTGCGATGCTTGGCAAAAAATAAACCCCTTCATCTTACACAAAGAATTGGGGTTGGGCAGGGCCTCCCCGCCCCCCACAGTCCACTCAGCAGGGCCCGTGTGACCTTGCAGGGGAACTACTCCTCAGTCTCCCTCTGAGGGAAGGAGCAGAGGAGGAGGAAGCTGGGCAGGGGAGGCCTCAGCAGTGAGGCTTGAGGCCGGAGACAGCCTCAGTCTCTCCACTTGGCGCCCGCTGAGCCCAGCCAGAGATGCACAGCCTGAAACATTTAAGTGGGAGCTGGGGCTGGCAGCCTGGCTCATGGATGCCAGGGCTGGTAGAGCCGGCTCCTGGCCAAGGGGGGGGCACTAGAGGAAGAAATGGTTAACAGGGCCAGGCCCAGCCCCGGGAGAGCCAGGCCGCCTGACTGTGGCCTCTAGGGCCTCAGGTGCATCAGAGACAAACGTGGCTCCAGTGGCCACTGGAAGACTCGGGAGGTGGCTTGCTTTTGTCACTTGTACTAGGGTTTGAACTCAGAGCCTGGGCGCCGTCCCTGAGCTTTTTTCGCTCAAGGCTGGCGTTCTACCACTTGAGCCACGCCTCCACTTCTGGCTTTTTGGTGGGAGGTACGAGTCTGGTGGACTTTTCTCGCTTTGACCCTCAGACCTCAGCCTCCTGAGTAGCCGGGATTACAGGCGTGAGCCACCGGCAGTGACCAGGTGTTGAGAGTTGAACTGTTCAGGGAACTCTCTCCCTGCTGGGGGTGGGGGGGGCTGAGTCTCCCCCCGATGGGTGGGCAGGTCTGGAATATTGGGGTGCACCTTAGCCTGTGTACCCACAGAATACCCCTGGGGTCTCTGCTTTTCTCTGAATGTCTCCTTCCTCATTTCCTGGCTGACGGGGCTGTAGAGGAATGGACAGGTACGGGCCAGCGTCCACCGCGGTTCAGCCTCAGCCATCAAATGACTACCCTCTCCCCATGGGGAGATTTGGACCTTCCCGGGAAGTAGAGGCCCGGCGCCCCTATCCAAGGGACGCCGGGACGGAACTGTTTGTACAGAAAACAGGGCTCATTGCAATATTATCCTGTATGATCACCGCACAGTCCAGGAGCCCATCCTACCTCTGAACCTGGGGACGAGTCTCACGTCCAGCTGGGCAGGCGCGGGGGGGGGGGCACACCTGTAATCCCAGCTACTCGGGAGACTGAGGTCTGAGGATCTCCATTCGAAGCCATCCCCTGGGGCAGGAGAGTCTAATCTCTGACTGACCACCCAAAGCCAGAAACGGAGCTCTGGCTCAAGTGGTAGAGCACCAGCCTCAGGCACCAAAGCTCAGGGACAGTGCCCAGGCCCTGAGTTCAAGCCCCAGGACTGTTGCATGTGCACATGTATGCTTCTGCCCTCCACCCCAAAGCCGGGCACTGGGGGCTCACGCCTGTCATCCTAGCTACTCAGGAGGCTGAGATCTGAGGATTGTGATTCAAAGCCAGCCCGGGCAGGAGAGTCTGTGAGACTCTTATCTCCAATGAACCACCAGAAAACCGGAAGTGGCGCTGTGGCTCAAGTGATAGAGCGCTCGCCTTGCGCTTCAAGCCCCTTGACCAACAGACAGACAGACACACACACACACACACAGAGAAAAGAAAAAAGAAATCTGTCTCACCTCTAGAAAGTTCTATGGCTGGGACATGGGCTGGGATAGTGGGGCAGCCTGGAGGCGAGAGGGACGCTGGACGGACGGACGGACAGCCCCAGGAGTCAACGGGACAAAAACCCAGACCAGGAGGAGAGCAGCCTCCCCGAGGGAGGTTGGGGCGCTGAGGCCAGGGCCTAGGGGGGGCCCTATGTTCTGTGGGTGGCCTGTGCCCACCCCATCCGTGTTCGCCAGCGAGAGGCTGAGCACGCCGGGGTTATTTCCACCTCCCGCCCCTCTGGGCAGCACGCCCAGTTCCCAGCCCCCCCCACGGCCAGCCAGGGCCCACCTGGCCTGCCCCCCCCCGCCCCCCACTCCCCTGGGCACCGGCCCACAGCATGAAAAGCCCTCCTTGTCTTGCCTGGGCCGGCGGGCACAGGCAGAGGTTTCCATCCAGAATCCGGCTGGGCGTGCCCCGAAGTCTTGGCCCCTGCCCTAGCTGCCCCTGAGGTGTGTGCGGGACACAAAGGCTCGGCAGTGACCCCCCTCCCCCCAGGGCTGCGGGTCCCCTCAGATGCCCTCGGCATCTACCCAGCACCCTGTGGCCTTTGTTCTGTTACAGGCTCTTATCAGGAAGGCCTGGAGAAGTGGCTCACTCCTTTAATCCCAGCTATTCAAATGGAAGAGATCAGGAGGATCACAGTTCCCGGCTAGCCTGGGCAGAAAGGTCCCCAGACTTCATCTCAGCAAAAACGCGGAGTGAGACGTTATCCCAGTGTACAAAGAGAAGGATCGTGGTCTAGGCTAGCCCAGGCCCAAAAGCAAGACCCAATCTGAAACCTAACTAAAGCACAGGAGTGGTAAAGCACCTGAGTTCACACCCTAGGACTGTTGGGACTTGAACTCAGAGCCTGGACACTGTCCCTGAGCTTCTTCATCCAAGGTTGGCGCTCTACCACTTGAACAACAGCTCCACTTCTGGCTTTTTGCTGGTTCACTGGAGATAAGGGTCTCAAGGACTTTTTATCTGCCCAAGGTGGCTTTGAACCACGACCTTTGGATCTCAGCCTCCTATATAGCTAGGATGACAGCGTATTGGTGCCCGGCCCCATTTCTCCTGTTAAAAATGGCGGGTGTCAGTGAAATAGTATAAAACCCTTGGGCGCCACGCTCTTCCAGCCTGGAACCCGCCGCCAGCACCAAAGTTATAGCTTCGTTTGACCATCTGAGTCTCAGAGGCCCCAGCCCCGTGGCTTCTCCGGGCCGGCCACCCCAAGTCTCCCCCTGGCTTTTGCTCAGCCCGGTGCTGCCTAGAGTCTGACCACTTGCGGGCCTGCAAGAAGCTGGGTGTGAGGGTCACCACTCACCCGTCCCCATCTCCGCCTCTCCCTTCCCTCCCCTTCCCTTCCCTCTTGTTTCTCTTTCCCCTCCCTCTCTTCCTTCCTCTCCCTGCTCTCCTCTCTCTCTCCCGCTTTATTTTGAGCCACACACCCATCCTTTTAGGCTTTGGTTCATTTTCTAAGCTAATTTTTTGGGGGGGAGGGGGAGGCTAGTCCCCCTGGACTGCGATCCTCTTATTTACATCTTATTTACTGAGGTCCCAGACGCACACCACCAGGGCCCGGCTTATGGTTGGAGAGGGGGGCCTTGCTCACTTCTGACAGCTGGAACCGTAGTCCCCCAGATCTCTGCCTTCCGGTGCACGCTTGGCAGCCACAGCTGGGCGTCTCCCTCCCCCCAATGTGCCTAGCGCAGAGTTTTCATCCTCTGCTCTGCCCACGGTGGGCCACAAGACCCAGGCCCTGGAGTCTTTACAATCAAAGAGCCTGGGGACCCCCTTCCCCTGACTCATTTCCTCTCTGGGTGTCTCGTGATATACCCTCCTTTATTTTCGGCTTCCCCATCCGATGGAGGGGTGTGGCCGGGTCCCTGATGGGGGGGGCCGGCCTCAGGCTGGGAGGGGGTGCCGCGCCTGGGATCCGTCCCAAAAGATGTCGGCTGAACTGATTCATATACGTGCAGTCACGGCTTGATGCCCTGCGGCCCAGATGTTTATGGTACAACCAGACCACCGGGGTGGACTTCTGGAATGCCGGGATCCTGGCACGGTGCAGAGAAGCACTCGGGCTAGCACCTCTCAGGTAGAGAACTTAACACCTGGGTGCTGTCAGAGGGGGCAAGGTCTCGCTGGGGATGGGCTGGGGGCGGGGGAGGGCAGGATCTCTGGAGGCTGACGAGTGGGCGAAGCTCACGTCACCCCAGCTACGCGGGAGGCTGAGAGCCCAGGGTCTGAGGTTCAAAGCCACCCTACCCCCCCAGCCCAGGGCAGGAAAGTCTGCGAGACTGATCTCCAATCAGTCACCGAAAAGTTGGCTGTGGCTCTGTGGCTCAAGTGGTAGAGCGCTGGCCTGGAGGGACACAGCTCAGGGAAACAGCGTCCGGGCCCTGAGTTCAAGACCCGGGACTGGCACAAGCTAACAGCGCCGATGAGCCTGTTCGTTGCCAGCAGGACCCCCGGCAGAGAGGAGGGGGGATGGAGGGGGAGGAGGAGGGGGAGAGGAGAGGGGAGGTGGGGAGGGGGGAGTCGAGGCCAGGCAGGGGGTCCCCCAGTCTCCACTGTCTGGTTGCACCTGACACTTTGGGGTTCCCCTCTGTCACTTGGGGGTCACTGCAGGAGCCTGGTGTCTGGGGGGGTGGCCCTGTGGGTCACTAACTGTGGCCAGCCACCCCTGGGCCCCTCAGGCCCGATCAGAGCAGCGCAGCCCCGCAGCCCCCCCCCCAGGTCCCCCGTCTCCCACTCACTCACCAGGCGCCGCGGGGCTGCACAGCAGGGCCAGGCTCAGGGCCAGCGCCAGCGCCAGGGCGGCAGCCGGGCACCGCGGGCCGGGGCGCATGGCGGAGGCTGAGCGGAGGGCTGCGGGCTGCGGGCTGGGACGGCCGGACAGCAGGGCGCGCGCTCTGCCCGTGCTGGTCCTCCCTGCGGCCTGGGCGGCTCTGGAGCTGGCGGGCTCCGGCTCCTGGGCAGCTACTTAACCCAGGGGGGCGGGGCGGACCTCACCCCCACCCGCTCCTTAAAGGGCCCCAGCTGAGCACCTCCTCCCCCTCCTCCCCTCCTTCTCCCCCTCCTCCCCTTCCCTTCTTCTTCCTCCTCCCCCCCTCCTCTCCCTCCTCCTGCTCCCCTCCTTCCTCCCTCTCCTCTTCCTTTCCTCCCTCTCCTCTTCCTTTCCTCCCTTCCTCCTCCTCTTCCTCCCTTTCCTTCTCCCTTCCTCCTCTTCTTCCTCCTCCTCCTCCTCTTCCTTTCCTCCCTTCCTCCTCCTCCTCTTCTTCCTCCTCCCCTTCCTCCCTTGCCTTCTCCCTTCCTCCTCACCTTCCTCCTCCTCCTCCTCTTCCTTTCCTCCCTTCCTCCTCCTCCTCTTCTTCCTCCTCTTCCTCCTCCTCTTGCTACCTTTCCTTCTCTCTTCCTCCTCCTCTTCCTCCTCCTCCTCCTCCTTCCTAATCCCTAGGTACCAGCAGGGAAGAAAGGAAGGAGAGATCTTTCCAGAAGCCTCTCCAGAAGCAGGCTCTTGGCCTCTGCTGGCAGCTTGGGACTGGCCACCTTGACCCCCCCGCCCCGACCCAAAGGGGCCCAGTCTACTTGGCCACTGAGTCCGAATTGGCCCACAGGGCAGAATTCCCAATTCCATCACCATTGGCCTCAAAATCATCCTGTACTGGTGCTCACCCTTGTCACCCCAGCTACTCAGGAGGCCGAGATCTGAGGATCGCGGTTCACAGCCAGCCCAGGCAGGAAAGCCTGTGAGACTCTTATCTCCAATGAACCACCAGAAAACTGGAAGTGGCACTGTGGCTCAAGGTGGTAGAGCGCTCACCTTGAGCAAGAGAACTCAGGGACAGCGCCCAGGCCAAGAGTTCAAGCCTCACTACACACACACACACACAGACACACACACACACACACACACACACGATATCCTGCAGAGAAGAAGGCCACCCCTCCTATGGAGCGGGAAGGGACAGACGTGGATCCCCCCCAGGCCCCTGGGGTGCAGGACTCTGGCTGTTTGGGGTACACCGCTTTGTTCTGGCTTGCCCCGCCTCGCTTCCTCCTGGAAATCTGGCCCGGGATTTGGTTTCTACCTAACGGCTCTAGGCCCTGCCTTCCCCTCTTGGCTTCCACCCAGGCAAGAACTGCCTCTTCCCAAACAGGAGTTGGAGAAAGAGCAACCCTGCAGGGAAGTTTCCAGAACCTGAGAGGCTCAGCCTGTGCCTCGCCCAGCCTCCGGAGCCGGGCGCCTGGCCTGGGAGTCAGCATCCAGCGAGTGAGTGAGAGTTCACCCACCCCCTTTCTTATGTCAGTCCTGGCCTGGAACTCGAGGCCTGGGTGCTCTCACTGAGCTTTGTTATTTTTTGCTCCAGGCGGGTGCTCTACCTTGTGAGCCACCCCTCCAGCTTCTTGGGGTTAATTGGAGATAAAGAGTTTCACGGATTCTCCTTGCCTGGGCTGGCGTGGAACCGCGATCCTCATATTTCAGCCTCCGGAATAGCTATGAGGACAGGCGTGAGCTGCTGGCACCAGGCCTCCATTCAAAGTTTTTGCTAGGTAAAAAAGCCTTCCCTCCTTTTCGTTTCCAAATCCACAGCTCTCTTCCTGGGAGCCGTACTTGGTGAGCGATTGGCTCCTAATGAGGACCAGCTGTCTCATTGGCTCCCAGACATGGGAACAAGGCACAAATGGTGCCACTTTTTGCCACCGAGGCTGGCTACGGTGGAGCCCCCACCCTGGGCCTCCTCGGGTGTCTGGATGGACCTCTGGCTTCTTAGGGGACCCCAGTGGGCATTCATTGAGCTCTTCCTGTAGGCAGGCAGCTCTGGAGGGGAAAGTTCGAGAGGCACAGCTGACATCCATCTCGGGGATGGGTGGGCGTTGTGCGTGGGGTGTGTGGAATTCTCCACCGAAGGCCTGTGATGTGCTGGGTGACAGACAGAGAGAGGAAAAGATGTGCCTTGGTTAAACTCCCACTGTGTGCCGGCACATCATCTTCAAAATCCAGCTTCGCAAAGAAGGAAGCTGTCTGGCACCCATGGTGCACACCTGTCATCCCAGCTACTCACGAGGCTGAGATCTGAGGGTTGAAGTTTGAAGCCAATGAGACTCTTATCGCCAACACACTAGCAAAAAGCTGGAAGTGGAGCTGTGGCTCAAGTGGTAGAGCATAGCTTTGAGTGAACAAGCTCAGGGACAGCGCCCAGGCCCCTGGGTCTTCTGTGTGTGTGTGTGTGTGTGTGTGTGCATGTGCATGCTCTTGCACCAGTACTGGGGTTTGAACTCAGAGTCTTGAGCTGTCCTTTGGCTTTTCCATCCAGGGCTGGCGTTCTACCACATGAGCCACACATCCACTTCCAGATTTTTGCTGGCTCATTGGCGATATTCTTGGATGTATCTGTCCATTCTGGCTTCAAACCACGAACCTCAGCTCTCAGCCTCCTGGGCCGAGCCACGGGCGCTGGGCATCACTGGGTCCTTGGCCTGGCACCCACGGGTGTAGCCTGGGCTCAGCCCATCACCTGCTGCTAGAACTTGAACCGTGGACCCCTGCTGGGCAGCCTAGGCCAGGCAGACCCGCAGAAAGTGGAGGGGGGGCACCTCACTTTGGGACTGACCCTTCAAGGTGCACAGTATCTCCAGCAAGGCTGCTGGGAGGGGCCAGTGCTGACACGCCCCCCCCCGTCCTGCCCCTCCTCCATGGTGCCTGCCCCAGCCTTCCCGGGCATGCGTGTCCTGAGCAGAGCTGATCTGAACTTCCAGAGCCCTCCAGGCCCAGCTCCTGCCTGCCAACTCTGCCATGGCTTTCTTTGCCTTGCCCTGGCCAGGCCCCTGTCCCCCCCGCCCCCCCAGCCACATTGAACCTTCCCCAGGGAGGCCCTCCCGGCCTCCTTCCCTCACTGACCGGAGGGAAAGACTCCCCAGAGCTCTGACCTCTGAGGATCCTGTGTGTTTGTTTTTGCTGCTTTGAGTCAAGGTCTCTGTGTAGCCCAGGCTGGCCTTGGAATGATGATCCTCCCACCTGGGCCTCCCAAGGGCTGGGATTACAGGCAGGCACCCCCATGCTCAGCTGCGGAACACAGATCGCTGTACTTCCCCCAGCTCCCCGAGGCCGGCTTCTTGGGCCAGGAAGGGCCTTTCCTGCTCTCTTAGACTGACCCCCTTCCTGCGAGGCCCAGGACTGAGCATGTGGTGGTGGGGAGCAAGGGAAGAAGGTAACTCAGAGCTGGGCATCTGTGGCTCAACCTGTCACCCCAGCTACTCAGGAGGCTGAGATCTGAGGATCACAGGGAAAGCCAGCCCAGACAGGAAAGTCTGTGAGACTCTTATCTGTAAGGAAGCGCACAAAAACCAGAGGTGGAGCTGTGGTTCAAGTGGTAGAACACTAGTCTTGAGTGAAAAAGCTCAGGGACAGAACCTAGGCCTGAGCTCAAGCCCCAGGACTGGCACAAAGAAGAAGAAGGAGAAGACAATTCAGAACATTCTGGAAGAATGAAGAAGGTTCAAGCCCCAAGCCCCCAGGATTGGCATGAAGAAAGAAGAGGAGGAAGAGGAGGAAGAGGAGAAAGAGGAGGAGGAGGAGGAGGAGGAGGAGGAGGAGGAAGAGGAGGACAATTCAGAACATTCTGGAAGACCGGGGAGGGATCACCTCTCCCCATGAGTGACAGGATTCCAAATTCTTGCAGCTGGAAGGACCTGGGGTAAGGGCTGCCTCAGTTTCCCCTAGGAGCTCAGGACACACAGAGGAGCCTGGCGGAACCCCAGTCCTACTGGCCTCCAGCGGTGTAGCCATGGCCGGCGGCCCCTCTGGGTCCAGTGCCCCGTGGGCTGGCCGCCCTGGCTCTGGCTGCGCATGGGCCCGTCCTGCCTCTCGACCGGGTATTTTTTGTACCCTGTCTGCACGGGCCCCACCCAGTGTGCTGCTCCCGGGCCTGTGCCCGTGCCCTAGCTGGGGAGCTGCCTGGCCTGGCCCGGCGGCGGTGGGGGTGGACATTCCCCAGCCCTCAGGGAATTGGCCATGACCTTGAAGGACACGGGGTCCCCCGGGGCTCCTCGGTACAAGGGGCCTTGGGCTTAGGGCGTTGGCTCCGTGACTCAGTCCAGGAGCTCCACAGCCCGGCTGGGTGCCAGCCCCCCCGCCCCCCGCCTTGCCAGGCCCTCTCCCTGGCTTCTGGCTGTGGTGGGAGATCAGGGCGGGCCCGGGACTGACCGAGGCCCCACAATGACTCGATTCAGTGGTGGAGACGCCGTCCTCACCTCCTGGGAAGGCGAGAAGGCGAGAGGCGCTTTGCCTGGTGCTGGTTTGAGTTACCCCAAGAACCTGGCAGGGGGCTGGGGAGGCGGGGGGGGGCCCTCAGACCCTCCTGAAGCCTGTACCCCACAGCCGGCGCTGTCGCCTTGGCCATGGGCCACGTCCGCGGTGGACTGCTCCTGGTGCCATTAACCCTTGCTGGCCAGCGCTGGCCTTCGGGTGGCCTTGTTGGTCTGGGTAGACATTTCATGACTGCGTTGGTTCTGGGGTCTGGCGTGGGCAGGTAACCCCCCCTCCCCGACACACACAATAAAGGCTGAGGATCTTTGCTCAGGGTTGAGACTGGCGCTGCCCAGTGGGCGTCGGGCCCAGCAGGCGGGCAGGGCCAGCGGAAAGAATGTGGGTGGGGAGCAGGAGTCAGCCCCCCCCCCCGCCAGGCGTCTTCTGGTGTGGCCTGAGACAAGTCTCATCACCCATCAGATCAGCCCGGGCACCACTGGCAGCTGCAGTGTAAACCAGGGTGCAGCTCTCTGCAGGATCTCAGGAGGCCTGCCCGGCTCCAGGGCACCCCCCCTGCCCCCCCAGAGAGCACACACCCCTCCTGGGGCTTGGACTCTGGGTCTGGGTGCTCAGCTCTTCAGCTCAAGGCGAGCACTCTACCACTTTGAGCCACAGCGCCACTCCTGGCTTTCTGGTGGTTCACTGGAGAGAAGAGTCTCAAGGATTTTCCCGATCAGGCTGGCTTTGAACCGCGATCCTCAGATCTCAGCCTCCTGAGTAGCTAGGATGACAGGCGTGAGCCACCAGCGCCCATGGTTCTTTTTGAAAAACATATTTTTAATTTAGTTAATTGATTTGTGTGTGAGTGTGTGTGTGTGTGTGATATTGGGCCTTGAACTCAAGACCTGGGCACTATCTCTTTGATTATCACTCAAAGCTGGTGCTTTACTACTCGAGCCACACACCTCCACTCCCAGCTCTTTTTGTTTTTGTTTGCTGGTTCATTGAAGATAAGCATCTCCCACATTTTTCTGCCCAGAGCTGGCTAGCTTCGAAAGTCGATCCTCACATCTCAGCCTCCTGAGTAGCTAGGATGACAGGTGGGAGCCATCGCAACCTGGCTTAGACTGGGTGGGAGCTTTGGGAATGGAATTTAGGACGTGTTTGTCAGACAGTCACACTTTAATGTGAAATAGTTCCCTTTCTTTCTTCCTCTGGATCCTGGGGATTTCCCCCCCCCTCCCCGACTCCCCCAGGCCTTTTTGCCTGGTGGGGGTTGAGGGCCGCCATGCTGAGATCTCCGTGTTCTATAAGCAGTCTTGGAGCACAGAACCCTGGATGCGCTCATCTGGGCGCCATAGTAATAGTGAGAAATAAACAGTCTTGGTTCCACAGAGACGTCATTGGTCTCTGGCTCCGGTCTCGGCCTAGGGATGGATGACAGCCTGCTGTTGGTCCCTGAGGAGGGGGAGGATGGGGGCCAGGGGGGGCCGAGGACGGTGAAGGGAGCAGGTCCCCAGGCCTCCAGGATGAAGCAGCCCAAAGGGGCGGCGAACACCGTGTTCTACGGGCAGCAGCCGGAGGAGAAGGTCCAGCCTCCGTCCTGGAAGGAGTTCAAGCAGATCCCCATACTCCTGGCTAACCTCAAAGGTGAGAGCACCCCGACTCCCCCCCCTGCCCTGGACCCGGGCCCCACCCCAGCGTGGCAAGCCACACAAAGAGCCCCCCCCATCCAGCAGTGGCTTTCCAGTTTGGAAGAAATACTAGAAAAAAAACCTTGATGGCTACGTTACACCCTCCGCGCAGACTTCAGTGGTTTGGTTTTTCCCCCTCCAGTTGAGAGCTGAGCAGTTAATTCTTACTAGGTTGTGACTGACTCACCTGGGACGTGCGGCTCCTCAGCGCTGGTTGGGGTACCCGGCTGTCCCCCCCCCCGCACCCGCCTCGTTTTGGACACACTGGTGTTTCTGCATCTCACTATTTCCATCCATGATGGGAAAGCAGAGGGGCTCACCAGCCACCCCAGCGCGAGGCGGGCCTCGTGCAAACACCGCCACGCATTCCAGATGTGGTGCCCCCCTCCCCGCGGTCTGTGGCTGTGATTTACTTTTTTTTTTGTCCGTCGTGGGGCTTGAACTCTGGGCCTGGGCGCTGTCCCTCAGCTCTTCAGCTCAAGGCGAGCGCTCTACCACTTGAGCCACAGCGCCACGTCTGGTTTTCTGAGTGGTTCATTGGAGATCAGAGTCTCACGGCCTTTCCTGCCCGGGCTGGCTTTGAACTGTGATCCTCAGATCTCAGCCTCCTGAGTAGCTAGGATGACAGGCGTGAGCCACCACCGGCTTGTGATTTACTTTTCAATTTTCTTTTTTGGTCATACTGGGGACATTTGAACTCAGGGCTTTATGCTCGCTAGGCATAAAGCCGCACCCCTGGGCCTTTGTGCTATTAGGTTATTTTATTTTTTTCCAGATAGATTCTTGCACGTGTGTGTGTGTGTGTGTGTGTGTGTGTGTGTGTGCAGGTCCTGGGGTTTGAGCTTGGGGCCTGGGCACTGTCCCTGAGCTTTGGTGCTCAAGGCCAGTGCTCTGCCGCTTGAGCCACGGAGCCGTTTCTGGCCTTTCTTTTGCTGGGTAATTGGAGATAAGAATCTCCCAGAGTCTCCTAGGCCGGCTTCAAACAGCGATCCTCCAGACTCAGCCTCCTGAGTATCTAGGATTACAGATAGGAGCACCAGCCTTCCTTTTCCTCCTCCTGCTCCTCCTCCTCTTCCTCCTCCTCCTCTTCCCCCTCCTCCTCCTCCTCCTCTTCCTCCTCCTCCTCTTCCTCCTCCTCCTGCTCCTCCTCCTGCTCCTCCTCCTCCTGCTCCTCCTCCTCTTACTCCCTCCTCCTCCTCCTACTCCTCCTGCTCCTCCTCCTGCTCCTCCTCCTGCTCCTCCTCCTCCTGCTCCTCCTTCTCTTCTTTCCCCCTCCTCCTCCTCTTCCTCCTCCTCCTCCTTCTCCTCTTCCCCCTCCTCCTCCTCCTCTCCTCAGAGGGCTGTCACTCAGCGCTGCGTCCCCGGGTTTTGTCACCCCGCGGTGTTCTGGGCCTTCCCTGCTCCAGCCGGTGCGCGTGGGCTGGAGTCCCCGTGTGTCCCCGCAGGTCCCAGCCCCGCCAAGTACCTGCAGCCGTCCTGCACTGGCTACATCGGCCATGACTGCACCATGTTCCAGGAGCCCGTGTTCACCATACATGGTTTGCACACTGACAAACGTGAGTGACTTCTGCACACGTGTGCGTGTGTGCGTGTGTGCGTGCGTGTGTGATCACTGCCAGAGGCTGCGGTGTGGGGGCCATCTCCCGTGACCACTGGGAGCTGGGGAGGAGGAAGGCGGCAGAGCTGGCAGTCACGGCCACCCCTGCCCGCGGGGCAGCTCTGCGAGTCTCCCTCTGCCACACTCTCCAGGAGGTCATGAAGAGACACAGGCCGGGCCAGGACGCTCCCTCCTGTAGCCCCAGCCGCCTCTCTGCATGACACAGTGGGGGGGGGTTGCTTGGGTGGGGGCAGCGGGCACAGTAGGAAGGGCGGTGTGGGGGGAGAGGAGGCTGGGCAGGGGCGTGGCTGGTGTCCAGAGCACCTGCTAGCCCCCCCACTTCTCCCGAGAGACACCCCTGCTCAGGAGAGCAGTAGCCACAAGGCTTTTGTTTTTGTTTTGTTTTGTGCCAGTGCTGGGGCTTGAACTCAGGTCCTGGGCGCTGTCCCTCAGCTCTTCAGCTCAAGGCTAGCGCGCTACCACTTGAGCCACAGCACCACTACTGGCTTTTTGCTGGTTCACTGGAGATAAGCATCTCAGAGACTTGCCATTCTGGGGCTGGTTTCAAACCACGATCCTCAGATCTCAGCCTCCTGAGTGGCTGGGATTGCAGGCGTGTGCTACACACCCCCTCCCCGCTGGTTTTAACTCTTCCCTGGAGCACGTTCTCTGAGTGACTGGGGGGCGGGGGGGAGTGGGTCCCATCTCCTCCTCCAGACAGGGCAGACCCACATCCCCGGGGCCTCTGGGCCTGGGGAGGGAGGCCGGCTCCCTGGGGGACCTGAGGGGGGGTGCTAGGCTCACCCAGCACGTCTGTCCTACAGGAATCAGAGACGTGTGCAGCCCAGGACCTCACTGCTATTACCCGGATCCCAAAGTCACCCGGTGCGGAGTGTGCAGCTGTCCCCAGGTCCGGATGGAGGAGCGCATCTGTAACCCGCGTAAGGCCGGGGGGGGGGGCAGGCCAGGGGTCCGGGCAGCCGGGCAGGCACGCATGTGTGTCGCTCCTGGGGCTTGAACTCAGGGCCTGGGCTCTCCGTCCCTTGGCTTTTTTTTCCCAGCTCCAGGTGGGTGCTCTACCACTTGAGTCACACACAGCCCCATGTCTGGCTTTTTGCTGGTCCCTTGGAGACTAAAAGAGTCTCAAGGCCTTTGCCTGCCAGTGCGGGCCTCAAACCAGCATCCTCAGATCTCAGCCTCCTGAGTAGCTGGGATGACAGGCGTGAGCCCCAGTGTGACGGACGGTGTGCGAGCCGCCCCGGGCTGAGCGGGGCCCCCAGCTCACTCCCTGTGATCCCCCCCAAGGCCCCTCACCCTTCTCTCTCTTCCAGGAGTGGCCCCCAACCTGGGACCCGGCCACTACAGCCCTGAGAAGGTGCCACCCCCCCTGGAGCGCACAGCCCCCCAGTTCACGTTTGGGTACAGATGGCCCTACCGTGTGATGGACCCTAACCCGGCCCCCAACCGGTACGACCTGCCCACTTGCCTCGGGCCGGGCAGCCCGGTGTTCCGCACGGCCCCCTGCTTCAGCCTGGCCTCCCGGCTCAACAACTGGTTCTATAAGGAGAACATGGCGGGCGGCCCGGGCCCGGCCACCTACCCCCGGCCCTCGCCAGCGACCAGTCAGAGCCGGGGCCCGGCCTACAGCATGGGCCAACGCTGCTCCTACCCCGTGGACCACACGCCGCGGCCCGGGCCTGGCGCCCACGACGCGCACAAAGTGACCGTGCACAAGCCACGCGCGCCCGCCTTCTCCATGACCAGCAGACACACCGCTCACCTGTGCCCGCTCATCACCGACATCCGGGACTGAGACCCCCCCTCTGCCCACCCACCCAGCCCCCAAGTCCCCCCAAGCCCCCCAAGTCTCCCCAAGCCCCCCCAAGCCACCAATCGAGCCTGGTGCATGGCCATCACATAAATATTTGTCTTCTGTGTATGCATTCTTCCCTCCCGTGCATGCTTCTGGATGCTTCCAGAAGCTTCTGCTCTAAGGGACAGGGCCCAGGGGGCTCAGCCCTCCTGGATCCTGGCATCTAGTGTGGCCTGCACACCCAGCCTCCTCCCTGCCCCCCCAGGCTTCTCCAGGCCTCAGTAGCCCCTCACACCCTAGGGAGAGGTTTGAGACCCCCCCCCACACCTATGCCCCATTCTAGAACTATACCCTTCCTCCTTGCCCGTGGCCAGCCTCCAGGGGAGAAGCAGGGCATGCTGAGAGTGGGGAGAGGAAGTTGGAGTAAGAGCTGGTGGGGGGGGACTCGGAGTGGCGGGCATCTGGGGTGCACGAGGTGGTACTGGTCCCCAGGACCCAGATCAGACAGTGTATTTTATTTTATTTTATTATTATTATTTTTGTTGGTTGTGGGGCTTGAACTCACGGCCCAGGCGCTGTCTCTGAGCTCTTCGGCTCAAGGCGAGCGCTCTACCACTTGAGCCACAGCACCACTCTGGCTTTTTGCTGGTTCATTGGAGATAAGTGTCTCATGATCTTTCTTCCCATCTGGGCTGGCTTTGAACCACGGTCCTCAGACCTCAGCCTCCTGAGTAGCTGGGATGACAGGTGTGAGCCTCCCGTGCCTGGCTGACTCTTATTTATTCTTTGTCTGGCTTGGGGCTTGAACTCTGGGCCTGAGCTCTGACCCCGAGCTCCTCCGCTCAAGGTGAGCGCTCTACCACTTGAACCACAGCAACACTTCTGGTTTTCTGGTGGTTCCTCGGAGATAAGAGTTGCATGGGCTTTCCTGACTGGGCTGGCTTTGAACCTTGATCCTCAGACCTCAGCCTCCTGAGTAGCTAAGATTAAAGGCATCAGCCACTGCCACTGGCTTAGACCAGCTCAAGGGGGCCTTGAGCTCTCGATCCTCCCCCCTCAGCCTCTCCAGTGCTGGGACTGTAGGCATGTACCACCACACGGGGCTAATGCACAGCGCTCGCTCTGGGTGGTGGGAGGAGGCGGGCCGGGCCGGGCGGGCCGGGCCGGGCGGGCCACAGGGAGCCTCGGCAGAGAGTCCGCACTGGGCCAGGAGGGGGCGCTGCTGGCCCAGGCCTGCGTCTGCCCACTCGCAGTGAACAGGAGAGAAGGAGGCTGGGACTCCCCGCCCGGCCTTTGACCTTCCTAGACCTTTTGGCTTCCTGTCCCCAATTCTCCAGCTCCCCTTTACCAGCCCCTGTTCCATTTTCTGGCTGGGAGCCATGATGGGAGGAGAAAAGGACAAGAAGACCCCCTCCCTGTGACCAACAAGATCGGGTAGCATTGTGTGCCTCTGTAATCCCAGACCAGGACACAGAGAGAGAGAGGAGTCAGACCCACAGCACAGCCAATGGCTCAGCCTTGTCAACTCCAACAGGGTCTTATGTAGCTCTGGCTGGCCTTGAACCGGTGGTTCTCCAGCCTCAGCCTCCCCTCCCCCCTGCCCCCACCAGGGCTGAGATTACAGGCAGGCACCATCGTGCCCAACTTCATATTCAGGTTTTAACAAAATGAAAACTGCAGCTGGGCACCCGTGGTTCGCTCTCATCCTCGCTACTCAGGAGGCTGAGGTCTGAGAATCGCAGTTTGAAGTCAGTCAAATCAGTCGCTTTTCTCCAATCAACACCCCCCACCAAAAAAACCCCCCACCAAAACAAAACCAAACGAAGCCAGAAGTGGAGGTGTGGCTGAAGTGGTAGAGCGCCAGCCTTGAGTGGCAAAAGCCAATCAGGAGTGCAAAGCCCGGAGTTCAAGACCTCCCCTCCACGCACACAAATACAGTTGAAAGAAAACTGAACAGCTCTAGGTTTGGATAGCTACTCAGGAGGCTGAGTTCTGAGGATCATGGTTTGAGGCCAGCTTGGGCAGGAAAGCCCATGAGACTTATCTCCAAGGAGCCACCACGGTAGAAAGTGGAGCTGTGGCTCCAGTGGTAGAGTGCCAGCCTTGAGCCAAAAAGCTCAGGGACTGAACCCAGGCTCTGAGTTCAAGTCCCAGGACCAGCACCAAATAAATACATAACAATATTTAGGGGAAAAAAATGCCCCACGAGGCCCTTCCCTCTTCCGCTGCTCCCCCTGCCCCAGGGCCTGGGCGTCTGTCTGTCCCCCCCATAGCCGGGCCCGGGCCAAGCCAGCTCAGCCACCCATCTGTCCTGCAGCAGTTTAGAAAGATGTCGTGTTGCTGACAACGCCATTCATCACAGCGGCCGCGGGCGTCAGTGAGGACCTGGGCTGCACGTGTGGGCAGGGGCGGAGGGGGCCAGCGGCGCATGCTCCCCGATCACCAGCTCAGACCCAGGCTCAGAGCTCAGAAGCAACCCTGGCTAGGTGATGGACGAATGGCCTGTCTGTGTGTAGAGATCCAGGCTCAGCATGTGACCAGGATCAGGGCTCAGTCAATAAGCAGAGCTGGGCTCAGTCTATAGAGCTTTTACTTACATTTATTTACTTATTTGTCTTTGGTCAGTTGTGGGGCTTGAACTCTGGGTCTGGGCGCTGTCCCTCAGCTCTTCAGCTCAAGGCGAGTGCTCTACCACTTGAGCCACAGCGCCACTTCCAGCTTTTTCTGTTTATGTGGTGCTGAAGAATCGAACCCAGGGCCTCAGGCATGCGAGGCAAGCGCTCTACCACTGAGCCACCTTCCCAGCCCTAAAAACGTGTGTGTGTGTGTGTGTGTGTGTGTGTGTGTGCGCGCGCACACGCTGGTCCTGGGGCTTGAACTCAGGGTCTGGGCACTGTCCCTGAGCTTTTTTTCACTCAAGGCTGGCGCTCTACCACTTGAACCACAGCTCCACTTCTGGCTTTTTGCTGATGGAGATATGAGTCTCACAGATGTGTCTACCCGCCCTCCTGCTCCCCCCCCCCCCCGTGGGCTTCTAACCTCGATCCTCAGCTCTCAGCCTCCCGAGTAGCTGGACTGACAGGTGTGAGCCACCGGTGCCTGGTGGCGGCTTGGGGTGCTGTTTGGGGGGTGTCAGGAGGTGTGTGGCCCCTCCTCCTCGTCTTCCCGTCCGTCTGTCCTTTCTCCCGTCTCTCCCCTGCGTCCCTCTGTCCTGTATTTGTATGAGAATAAAGGTAGTCATTTTCAATTACCTCTGAAGTGACGGGAGCCAGCCAGGGCGGGCTGAATGGGCTGTGTGTGTGTGTTGGTGTCCCTGCTGGTCCTTTGTTTCTGTCTTCTCTTCTAGAACCTTCCTTTCTTCCCGGGAGATTGGGAAGCTGCGTCTCTCTTTGGGGGGAGGTAGGGACACAAAAGAGAAATAATAACATTGTCACGGCTGTCTGGTAAACTCAGTGTGGGGTGTGTGGGGGCCCAGCGGGAGGGGCGGCGGCGGGCGGGCGCCCAGGAGAGCGGTCTGGGTGACAGGGAAGGGAGGGAGTCATGGAAGTGGGGGTCCCCCTGCCCCCGGCCCTGCGGGCAGTGTGGAGGGGTGAGGTGAAGGGTGGACTGTGGGAGGGACTTCCTGGGCCCCACTTGTACTTACAGCAGCAGCGGGGATCAGAGAGGGTGCGCCATGCGCCTGGGTGCCCAGCCCAGGACGAGGGGCTGGGGTGCAGCCCAGGTCTGTGGGGGACTGTGGGCTTCCTGTTACCCAGCCTCTGCTGGGGGGCTGGGGGGCTGGGGAGAGGGGTGAGGAGCAGGCTCACCAGCCCTGGTGGTGCCCTGCCTCTCGGGGTCACCGGTCTCCTCTCTGATGAAGGGGGGACTTGATGGCTGCGGCTCTAGGGTTCTGGGGGTTCAGGCAGATGCCTGGACTGCCAGCCCCCCTTCACCCCCTTCTGGAGGAGGCTGAGCTCCAGCGCTGCTCTCTGCTGCCACCCAGTGGCGAGCGCTGGGCAGGCCTGGAGGTTTGGAGGTTTGGAGGCCCTGGACTCCGGGCCTCCATCGCCCTGAGATGCAGGGGGAGGGAGATGCGGGGACGGGGGGGGGGGTCCCCTCCAGGTTACCCAGGGCAGAAGTTTGGGTTAGGGCAAAGGTGCTTGGCTCAGTCCTCCAGCACGGGGAGGGGGAGGAGGGAGAGCTCCGAGTCTGAGCCGCCTCCTCCAGGCAGGCCTCCTCCTCCTCCTCACCCCTGGCCCCGCACAGGGCATCATGGCTCCCTCTCCTGCTGCTCCACCACGTCGGTTCCCTCGACAGCCAGCCAAGCAGGGGTCCCTGTACCCCACACCGACGGAGCTCCGGTCCCGGCCTTCGAACCTCACGGCAACCCGGAAAGCCCCTGCCTGGTGATATTGAGCTCCATCTTGGGGATGAGGAAATCCAGAGGCCATGGCTGTGATCTCTACCACAAGGGATTCGAACCCAGGTCCTTCCGGCCCGGGTCGCTGGAGATTGCCGTGACCATCAGGCGTGACCAGACAGGGGCGGCACTGATCCTGGGATGAGTGTGTGCATGCGTGTGCGCGTGACTCCTGGACTATCTCAGAGATCTATTGTGCCTCTCCCATGGCAGCTGCCAGGCTCAGGACTTGAGCTACACCAGTTTTATTTGAGTGCTAATACCAGGAATTAATTATTAATTAATTTATGTCGGTCGTGGGGCTTGAACTCTGGGCCTGGGTGCTGTCTCTCAGCTCTTCAGCTCAAGGCGAGCGCTCTACCACTTGAGCCATAGCGCCATTTCCGGCTTTCTGGAGATAAGAGTTTCATGGACTTTCCTGCTTAGGCTGGCTTTGAACTGTGATCCTCAGATCTCAGCCTCCTGAGTAGCTAGGATGACAGGTGTGAGCCACCGGTGCACAGTTTAACACCAGGATTTGAACTCAGGGCTTTGTGCTCTTGCATGGCCTTTTCATTCTAGGCTAGTAGCACTCTACCACTTGAGCCACAGCTCCACATTG